ATTCTTGACATTTCTAAGAGCGGATGGTATTCAAAATACTTCCAACGATTTTTTACAATTTAAATAAAAAAAGAAAAACAATATCTTTTTTTGATTTGTTTATCGGGGTGAGCGCGAATGCAGACTCCACATTTAGAAATAGCGCATCCGGATCGCCCAGATTTGGGGTGATCGCAAAGGTCAACCCAACCAGAGTGCAATGTAAGGGGCTCGCTCTTGGTGTGAATTTTAGTAAATCTAAATTCTTTTTTTTGGGGTCAAATTAAGAGAAAAGATCTCAACCTTCTATTTATTGCATTTTTAAACAGAAAAGTATAGATACAACTAAAGATTCGCTACAAAATGAGCATACCATGATGAAAATTGCCCAAAGCATAATCAATACAACTTTTATCATCAACATTTTTGTGTTATTATTAAGAGGAAAGCCCAAAGGATTGTAAAAATTGTTTTGTGAAAATACGTTTTAGAACCTTCAACATTTCACTCAAAAATCTTGTTTTTCTGGCGTCAACGGAGAACCATAAAAGGGTCTGGGAAATCTGAGCGGTGAAAAATACGTTGGTTTGGAAATTCTTGCAAAAATCAAATAATTGTCGGATTTTAGCGAAATTTTCAGGACTTATTGAAAAATGTTTTTCAAAATATTTCTTTTATTAAATAAATCTTGGTAAAAATATATATTTTTTTATATTTGTTATCAAATCATTAATTAATTTTATGATGCTAATAACATTGCAGATTCGTCTTTGTATTTTATGAAGAAGCTCTGAATATATAGCCGAAGCACCAGAGCAGATGTGGCAACAATATTTAAAGCATGGGTGAATAGTACTTGTAAATATATTAAATAGATTTAGGAGAGAAAATCTTCTACCACGACACTATAAACTTAGCAACAGACCTAGCAAGGGATTCAATATAATCTTTACATTTCATGTGAGCCGAGAAGTTGCAACGAGTCCCTCTCGTGGAGGTTAGCATCAGCCATACTGATGGGAGGCAGAAAGACGTCATTCAGGTGAAAGATAATTTTAACGTCTCCAAAACGAATCTTTTTTTCTATCATTCCTTGCCCCAGTTAACAACATGCTGTTGGTCATTCTTGAGATAAGCCGTCAATTTGACTTGATCAAACTGATCAGGCTTAGCATTGAGACAGAAGTAATAGTCTTGGATTTGAATAAGACAAGACAAAAAAGTTAGTGTTACAAATACATCTACTTTATACCGATTTTGGGTGTTAGCAGAAGTAAAGCGAGAGGTCGACAGGAAACAGATAAAAATTGACGCATATTTTCATAAAAATAAACTAGACAAAACTTTGATGGTGTAACTGTCAAATTTATTTCAGAAATACAGAATGTATGTATCCAAACGTACATATAAGTTTTAGATCAAAATAAAATTCTTTTCGTTTTTCATTCAAAATACTCAAATTTTAGGAATACGTTTTCACAACATCGCCCACGTGACGACGACGTGATCATATTTAAAAGATTTCAGTTATCTGTTTGGATTGGTATTGCTTTTATGTCCATCGTCTTTTTCATGTTGAATTGTATATGGTCTATGTTAATTATGTTTTATGAATATGCCCTGAAGATGGTCTATTAGACCGAAACGTCCGACGTTGACATTAAACATTAAAATAGCATAATCGCATATTAGGATTTTTATTTGTTTTTTCAGTATATTTTTCTTCATATATATATATATATATATATATATATATATATATATATTTATAAAAAAAAATATACAAAATTATATATCGTTATATATATATATATATATATATATATATATATAAAACGATATAATAATTTTGTATGTGTGTGTGTGTGTGTGTGTGTGTGTGTGTGTGTGTGTCCTGATGTTACCAGACTGGATCGAGGTTGATTCCAGAGTACGGCATTATTGGAGAGTGGCTGAGAACCATACCACGGGTTGACCCAAGCCTTGTGAGGGAAACTGAGTAGGCAGAACCCTTGTTCGCCGTCGATAGCTGTGCTAGAACAAAGTCACAAGTCATCGTGGCCGAGGTCTTGAGCGTGCTGCCCTTGTTCAAATTGTTGATCACGCTAGATAACACGCTCATAAACTGTAACTAAGGTCTACTCAGCATATTTGCAGTATAAACCACAAATGTGCCTGAGCAAGCGTCTGCAATAGGGACCGGCTAGCCGCCCTAATAGACGGGTATCTTTCAATACGAGTAGCCAGCTATTATGTATGTGTGTGTATACATGTATGTATATTAGTGCGTATGTGTGCATGTGTGAGAGGGACTGAGAGCTTGAGAGAGAGAGAGAGAGTGAGAGAGAGAGAAAGAGAGAGAGAGAAAGAGAGAGAGAGAAAGCGAGAGAGAGAAAGAGAGAGAGAGAGAGAGAGAGAGAGAGAGAGAGAGAGAGAGAGAGAGAGAGAGAGAGAGAAAGAGAACATTGAAGTGATCTACGCCCATCTCATGTTTTTATTCTTTTATAAAATCGGCAGTAATTCGGAAATTCATGATTGCCTGCCATTCTATGTCATTGCTTAATAAATAATCTTTTATTCTTCATATCATGATCTTCTCAAACAAGACTGACCTTTTTTTTTTCGCAGAAGTTTAATTAGAAGAAAAATCTCTGTCGCCTGAAAACCAAATCTTCGTCAGAAAAATTCGTCAATAAATAAATAAATAATAGAATTTCAGAAAATAATAAAATAAATAAATTTAATAATTATAGATTCAAAATAAAATTTTGTTATGAATAATTTAAAGAAAAAAATTGCCCAAAATTTTAAAACTTTTTTTAAGAAACAAAACAGAATTTAAGATTAATGTGATTTTGCCATGTTTGAAATTTTGTTTTGTAATAAACTTTTGGAGTAACCTTTTTTTTGTCAATGACGTTGTTGATATTTGAAGTCATGAAGGGAAACAAATATACAAAAGCTTCTGTCTGAATTTCCTGAATTAGGAGTTTATTATTTACGTTATTTAATGTCGGACTAATGTCATAATCTTTGTTGTTATTATCACAATGTTTCGATTATTGTTCCCGCCGACCTTCTTCAGATGTCTTCTGATTAAGGTAAACTTCAGGGAATTTCAAATTGAGCCCTTTATTCAATCAAATGGAAGTTGTTTTCTTTCAGTTGTCTAAGGCTCAGTTATGTGCCATGCGTTTCGATACATAACTGACGAGGTAGATTTTTTTCTCCGCAGTAGGTTTCCATTTCTTTCTGCGGTAGACTTGTTGCCATCCAAGGCTATAGAACCCAGTCTTTCCTGTTATTTACCCGTAGCTGGGGTCGGGGATGGGTGGAGAAGAAGAGGATTCATACCTTTCCCACGTAAGTGAATGTAATGGATTCGACTCAACTTTTCTATTTTACTCTCTTGATTGTTCCCAGATCCGCTCTGACCCCGGGGTGGTCGCACCTGTTAGGGGGGGGGGGGTCCCAGATAGTTAACCCTTAAACTGGGTTCAAAACATGAAAATATAAAAATAATTTATAAAAAGTAACCAGCAGTTCATTTTCATAGAAAAAAAAATGCCAACAATAGAGTTAAAAGATTCACAAGCAAATAAAATTTTGGTATTAAATGACCCATAAGGTGTTGATATGCCGTTAAACGACCAAAGCAAACCTTGTTCTGTTTAGTACTCTTCAGTTATGGTTAGCAACAATTGTACTGGATTTCAACCCCAGCCGAGAGATTATCCTTCTTAGATTCGGTCTAATCCTTTCGTTTTTATTGTTATTATCACCATTTTTTGACTGTTGTGTGCTCTGTTCTTTTTTGAGTGTGTGTGTGTGTGGGGGGGAGGTTTTGAGTGGGGGTTATTGAGTGGGGGGTATTGGGGGGATTATTGAGTGGGGGATTATTGAGTGGGGGATTATTGAGTATGTGTGTGTTGGGTTATTGAGTGGGGGGTTTATTGAGTTTATTGGGGGTTTATTGAGTGGGGTGTTATTGAGTGGGGGGTTAAGTTGTCTGTCGATTAGGATAACATTCAAGGAAGTTTGAACTGAATGCCATCGTTCCACTGCCTATGCTTAGGGCCAGAGTGCTGATTCGTCTATTTGGTGGCAAAGTAATTCTCGTCTTCGAAGAATTTTGTTTTGCATCAAAATTTTGGAGTTAATTAACCTTTTTTCAGTGACATTTTGGAAAGACGATGGGAAACAAAAATACAAAAAAATGCAAAAGAAAAGGACTTTAAAATGATTTAAAATGACGGCGTACCTCGGTTAAAATGGCGACATGATAACACCAGAAGTTAAGAAATAGGTTCGAATTTTACGCTAGGATTAGAATTAGGATTTGAAATTAAAAAAAAAATAGGAGTTTGGGCTTAGAGTTAGAATTATGTCTAAATTTAAGTTTTGAAATTAAAAATTAAGTTTGAGGCTTAGAGTGAGACTTTGGGTTTATAATTGGTATTGAGGATTAGGATTAAAGTTTAACACACAGATTAGGATTAGGCATACCAAATGAAATGAGCGGAATTAGAATCTATGACTAGAAATTTGTTTCAAATTAGGATCGTAAGGACATCACATGTAGTGCAGTCATATTAGCAGTGAGATGTTTAGGGCAAGATTATTTAACGGAATCCGTCACTCTTCAGGCAGGCTTTGAATTCAGTTTTCCTACTACTAAACAGCTTTCTGTCTCAAGGTAGGACGGCCTAGTCTATCCTGCTATTTAACCCATAGCTTGGGAGAAGATGGATCTATAACTTTTCATTAGTGCGAATACCTTTTCCGTCCCAATAGCTGTTACACTACCCACGCCTCTGAATTTGGGATTAAGGTTTTCGGACAGAGTAGAAAAATATAGAAATTCAAATTCAAATGGTTAGTGTTTAGAATAACGTTTAGTGGTTTGGAATTAGGCGTAGCGGTGCGAAACGGGATGATCTCCATTTGGTTGCGATGAACTCACGCGTGACGTCAGTTCACAGAGTTCCGGTCGGTTAAATAGCTGTTTGAAGTCAAGACGAATGAAGCAGGACCACTGCCTGGGCCAGCTGCCATCGGGCAACACACAAGCCCACAGAGCAGTTTTCCCGTTTATCTTTTATGTTTCTGCCCTCGCCAGAGAAATAGAAAATAAATCCGCGCCGCTCAAATTATAGAAGCTATCTCCGGCTCGCGGTCTTCTTCTTGGGAAATAGCCATGACTCGTCATTTTCCCGTTGTGAAATATGTCCTCGCCACAGACATAGAAGATACATTCGGCCCGATCGAAATGCCGTTAGAAAAATATAAATATAGATTCCCTGGCAGCTCGAATTGAGAATTATTACAAATGTGACCCTGTCTCTTTTCGTCATGTTCACACTGCCTGTTGTAGTATACTCGTGTTATAGTTTGGGTGTGGGTGACTAGTGTGAATATTTGTATATGATTTTGTGTATGATTTAGCGGTATAAAAATCTTCCTGAAAAATGTCTGAAATCCATACTACGAGTTGCTCCAAGAATTGTGAGTGAAATTGAATAGACGGAACTTTTCTGAATCCTTCGATGGTTTTGCTAGCACTAAATCACAAGTCATCGTGCGTATTGTTTAAACTTGTGAATATGCGCACTACAAACCCCAGTTAGAATCTGTGGGTATTTTGAGGAAACACAAATGTGCTTGATCAGGTTTCTGTAACAGGGACGGTCTAGTCGCTCTAGCAGACGCGGGTATTTGAAAAATGGGGGTGGCGAAACATTATGTACGATGAAAAAAATGATGGGAATACTTCAGCGTAAGCCAAAAAAAATCGCTGTCAATCTATCTTTCTATTAATCTCTTCCTCCTCCTCTCACACTCCCTCCGATCCTTCTCCCCCTCTCCCTAACTTCCCTTCCTCTTCCTCCATCCCTCTCAGTCTATTCACATCTATCTATCTATCTATCTATCTATCTATCTATCTATCTATCTATCTATCTATCTATCCCAGTCTATTCATTATCTATCGCAGTTGTGTAACATAATTTGTTGCTATCTATCTATCTATCGATTTATCTATCTATCTCTGTTATCTATCAAATTTAAAAAAATAGCTATTTTATCTCAGTCTGTTCATATCGATCAATCTATCTCAATCTGTTCATATCTATCTATCTATCTATCTATCTATCTATCTATCTATCTATCTATCTATCTCAATGAGATTCTTTTTTCTTTCTCTTTGTCTATTTCAATTGAAATATAAGCATTTTTATGAAACAGGCCGATGATCTTCTGACTACTACAGTTCTCTTCTCTCTCTTTTTCTCTTTTTCATTCTGTTTATCGATCTTGGCTCTCCACCCCCAAAGCACACACGCACCCACAAATGACGATCGAACTAGTAAAAACCAAACCAGCTAATTGAACGCTAAAAGTTACTCTGTGTGTTAAGGAGTGCAGAAAAAAAGAAAAAAAAAGACGTGGTTGCTGAAGAAGAAGAAGAAGAAGAAGAAGAAGAAGAAGAAGAAGAAGAAGATAAAAACGACCGACTGGACGAAAAAGAAAAATCAACGAGAAAAAACAAACGAAGATAGAGAGGGGGAAAATAAGCAGAATTCAAGGGCGAGGGTCGAGTGGTTAATCGGGGTGGTGTGGGGGTGGCTGCGAAAAATCTTGAAATGGTTGCACAGTCATGCACTTGGCAGAGGCGACTGAGCAGTGCGTGCGAGAAACGAATTTTGGCCACTCTATATCTTTTCAAATTCGCCTTGTGACCATTTTGACAAAGCAGTATTGATGTACCATCCGGTAAAGCTTTCCCGGCAAATCCTCCTCATGGTTCTAATGCACTTCCTCACCCGACTCCCATTCAAAGCCACCCCCACCCACCTTTCATTTGCTTTCTTCCTTTCGACTTTTTCCCGCCTTTTTTTTTTTCGCTTCAGTTCTTGACTCTCACCACAGAAAACCAACACAAAGTTAGTTTCTACTCAGATTGAACCGAAACACGATGGTGGCCGACGGAAGCGTTTCTCGATGTTTGAATTTATTTTTGTTGAATTTATTTTTGTTGAATTTATTTTTGTTGAATTTATATTTGTTTTCATTTGAAAAAAAAAAAAATTAAAAAGCGCAAAAAGAGAACGAGAAAACGTTCAGATTTGCAATGCCATATTTGTATATTTTTTCTAGGAAAATATTGAAGGATTTTCGTCCAAAGACGCATGTGAAAACAATGAACAACAACAACAACAACAAAAAAAAAACGTACTTACCCTATAGGCCAAAAGTTTAAGCCCACCTTTTGGATTTAAAAATTAGTACGTTTCATGCCTTCTGTGGTTTAATTAACACCTAAGCTGGGATGCTGAAACTGTTTACCACATTAGTGCATGACATCCAAAGTTTCAGACGGATGGGGACGGGGCGGGGTGTTTAGATTTATCAAAAATTTTAAATTATTGATTGATATATTTTTTACGGTTTACCAATAACCTGCTGGTTATTTGAAGTCGAAAGATATTTTAGATTGTAAAAATACTTTTTTTTTGCGAATATTAACTATTTTTTTCCGAATAACAATGATTTTTTCAGGTACAAGTCCTGAAGGGAAGAGATGGTTTCAGGCTTTCCCTAAAGGCATTTGTACGTAAGTGAATCAAATTTAAAATCCGACGGCCCGATTAACATTATCCGGCAAGGTCGATCAGGTAAGAAGAGATCAAATTTTAATGAAACCGCATTTATGCAGGAGTTAATTTCGTTATTATTATTATCATTGTTATTTTTATTTTCTTTGATTTCTGGCGTTTACACATTTCTTTCCGGGTCCCGCCCAGGGACCTAAGGTTAGAAATGGCATCATGACACTTTCCACTGACAAAGAAAAAAAAAATCAAAAAAATCTGCAACTTCTACGGGAAGGAAACTGAAAGAAAATGGTATGAACACCATCCAGACCCGGTTACAGAGATAGGACCTTTTACAATTCTATGGGACTACACAATACACACTGACACAACAATCAAAGCCAACCGCCCAGATATTGTTATTAAAGACCAAAAACAAAAACGGTGCCTCGTTATTGATATGGCAGTCCCTGCTAACTGCAATGTATCTTTGAAGATCTTCAAAAAGCTGTCAAAATACAAGGACCTTGAAATAGAAATCTCGAAAATGTGGCATATGGGAACACCAACAATCCCTGTTGGAAAAGATTGCAGTAGACTAATTGAAGGGATTCCTGGAAATCCATGCCTCAGGGAGATACAAAAAATTGTTCTGACAAGTACAGCCCACACTTTACAAAGGGCTTTATCTATGTAATTCTTTTTTCTTCTTCTTCTTCTTCTTCTTCTTATTATTATTATTATTATTATTATTATTATTATTACATAAAACCACTCACTCACGCACAATACACAAAAATGGAGGTAGGTCTAAGCAGATACAGAGGTAATAAAAAGATAAGAACAAAGACCTCCTTCCTTCCCGTTTTCTGATCAATCCGAATTGTTTTATTATTCTTAAGCAGAAGAATATTTTCACCACAAGTCAAAAGAAAAATTTGCATTACTGCTACACACAAAAAATTATTAAACATCGGAAAACATAAGGAAGATAATTTAAGATACCAGAAAAATAGTGTTATTAATGGATGTAATCTCTTGACTGAACGGAATATTGCAAAAGAATTATTTGCTGAAGATGCAAAGCTTCCAACAGAAGTCGTTTGGTTCATAAACACAAATAATTTAAAGAATGTCATCGTAAATCTGTTGGTTGCATTGAGAATAAATGCTTGCTATACTTATTAATGTGGCCACAGGAAATGGAAGCTTTAATAGACGAAAGCATATAAAAACCTACTTACCATTGTTGATGACTCGAGGCAGACTAAACTCTTTGGCTATTTTGTCAATAGAAAATGAGCTTATAAAGAAGATAGGTGTGGAAAGTACCATGAAAAGATTTACAGATCTAAAGTCGAGAAAAGAAATGTTTTAGGTCGGAGGATAATGAATGTATTTTTTTCTTTTTGGCTTATATGAAGTTGAATGTTGTGATAAACTTTTTATTCTACATTCCAGTTTTTCTCTTTCTGAAAATAATTAAATAACCACATATACATGTAAGAGCGCCGATGTTCCTGTTGCCCGGGTTACTAGCAACCTGAGGAAAAGTCTCAGCTCCCGGTTGAATGTCGACTGATTTTGAACCGAAATAGACGACAAGATTCCAGTACGATAAATCAATCAATCAATCAACCAACCAACCAACCTATTTATCTATCTATCTATCTATCTATCTATCTATCTATCTATCTATTCTCGGTCTGTATATATATATATATATATATATATATATATATATATATATATATATATATATATATATCAGTTTATTCACATGTATCTATCTATTTTCGGTCTGTTCATATCTATCTATCTATCTATCTCAGTCTATTCACATCTATCTATCTATCTATCTATCTATCTATCTATCTCAGTCTATCACATCTATCTATCTATCTATTTATTTCGGTCTGTTCATATATATATATATATATATATATATATATATATATATATCAGTTTATTCAGATGTATCTATCTATTTCAGTCTGTTCATATCTATCTATCTATCTATCTAGTCTGTTCATATCTATCTATCTATCTATCTATCTATCTATCTATCTATCTATCTATCTATCTATCTCAGTCTATTCCCATCTCTCTATCTATATTGCGAAATAACCTTTTCCTCCTGCATTATTCCTTAGTTCTCTAGCCGCCATGATGGTCCATTTAAATTCCCTTGTTGTCAACCAGAACTTTCAAGAAACGTTTCCAACCCAGCCAGAGCGACGCTCCCGTCCATTTCCTCCGTCGAGACAGTGGCCGAAGTAAAGGTGTTTCTAAGTAACGTCAGTGTTTGATCGCCGGACTCGATGGCCAATTACTAGCGTCGTAAACATACAGTTGGATCCCAGTCGGAAGAACTGAAGACTTGGGAATTGGTTGCGTGTATTGGGTTTCCAACAGTCTTTCTTTGCCACAATCGACAGAACCGAGTCTTGAGAATACAGTACTGGCGTTCCTAGAATATCATTTCACAGGTGAATAGCAATGCATTTCACTAGTGGCAATGCCCACACACATATGAGCGCAATCATATCCTATGAAAGATGCAACTTTACACACACATATATATATATATATATATATATATATATATATATATATATGTGTGTGTGTGTGTGTGTGTGTATGTCTGTGTGAGTGTATTAAAATGTCGAATGTATAAATTTACATATTCAACATCCTTACTCAAGTATACTGTTACTTAAATGCACGCCATGATATATTCACACATCGAGAGAAATAAAGTTGTAACACAAAAAGAGAAATAAGAGAAAATTTATGTCAGTCTTAAAGAATTCTTTGACTTGTCAAAGGCCAGCGATTTTGAGTCAACACCGAATGACATGTTTTTATCTGTGCTCATATCAAATTATTAACGGGGACATTTTTTTTGTCCTTCTCACAGCTCTTTGACGCAAATCAAATTACCAGTTGTTCTTTGTCTCCTTATGAAAATGAGTCCACCCAATCCTTTTTGTCTACCGTCAAAATATGAAAAATAATTGTTTATTTTGCTGGCGTAGTTAAACGCCACCCATAATTTTTGCTAACAAGCAAGAAAATGTGAAAAGGAATATTACAAATATTACTGTCAGTCCTTTTTAATGAAACACTTATTCATGGTACACACACACACACACACACACACACACACACACACACACACACACACAGTGTTTATCAAAATATTTTACAAACACTGAGGGCGGTTTCCTCATACCAAAAGGACAAAAATCTATATAAATATATGTCCACAAGTCTTTCCATTTTGAGTTAAGAAAGTTTACGGTAGATGCTGCTGTTTTACCATGTAGACTAGGCTACATTTGCCATTCGTGTACATTTGTGGCTACTCTGTCTTCAACGTTTAACGTGTGTAGCCGTGAGTGAACTGAGAAGTTTCCATTTAACAACAGCAAGGTATTCATATTTTGAGGAAGCAGATATGATTTTTACATCGGCCGCGCAAATCGTAATGAATGCGAGGTTGCACGGCTGTATCAGATTGCGTTTTCAAACCGAGTCATTCAATCATTGCTGCTGTTTATCGTCGCATTGCTGAAACAGGACCGTAGCACCACAAACTATGGATCGAGGAAGACTGAGATCCGCTTTTACGCCTGAAGACGAAGAACACATTCTACAGGCTGTTGTACACGATCCAGGTATCAACACGCATTAAGTGGCCTTAACATGTCGTACACCCCATAGTAATGCATAGAGGGTACTTCAAGAGCAGCTCCAGTATCCGTATCATTTGAAAAATGTGCCGTGTCTTTCGCCCTTTGAAAACGCACTCCAGGAGATGTATTGGAAAGTACTTGGGTTGACAAAAACTATGGTGCCTGACGAAAACTGGAAAGGATCAGTATAAAATAAGTTAACACAATATGTCTATATTATTCAATGAAACATGTCTGAATGAAGATATATTGCCAAACACACACACACAAACACACACACATATATATATATATGTATGTATATATATATATATATATATATATATGTTAAAAAAGATTAGCAGTTCAGTCGATTCCGTTATATTGGTTTCAAATTTTCAATATCTTCAGGAAATTATGGTCAATTATTTTCCTGAAGCTTTATTTTTTTTAAAATTAATGAGCACTTATTAAAAAAGAACATTTGAAAAAATCCTTTTGAATAAGAGATCCGAAATTATGACCCGTTGTATGCATACTAAAAAGTTTCTTTTCAGTTCATATGAATTGGGATGAAAAGAAAGTATTCATATTTTATTTAACCCTACACCGATATATTTCCAATACCCTTGTATTCTCCTCCCCTTCAATCACAATTCACGTCGTGCGTTTATTTATTTATTTTTAATTAATAAGCGTTCATTAATCAAAAAAATAAACCGTTAGGAAATCAATGGACCAGAATCGCCTGAAGATACCGAAAGGTTGAAGCCAAGATGGCGGAATCGGCTGATTTCCTAATTTTCTATACTTAAAACCGATATTCAGTCACCCGCCCCCCACACGAGGGCATCATGTGGCACAAGGCCGGTTTAACGTAGGATCTCCAAAAATATGCCCTTTTAAAACCCGTATAAACGGGCTCAGGGTCGGTTTACCTCCCCGAGAGAGACTCATTCGGGTTCCTCCCCGCCCGAAGGCAGAGTGCTCAACCGGTCAGCCGGTCGTCCGACTTCAGACTGAACTCAGAGCGAACCACTGAGCGACTATATTTAAAAGCGGTACAAGTTAATTTTTTTATCTTTTTATATGAGTATGGAGCACTTTTTAATACTCCATCATATGCTACAATATTCATGGGAAAATTTGAGGAGATCCATATCTATCCCTTCATCGCTAGCGACTGCATATTCTATGCAAGATATATCGATGATATATTCTTTATATACACGGGCAGTGACGACAAACTTATCCAATTCCTCATGACCCTAAATACAGTACACGACTCAATTAAGTTTGACGATGAATAATCCACAATATCGGTAACATTTTTAGACACCTGCATTTACATAGATGAAAACAGGAAACTACAAACGACACTACCCACTAAAATCACCGGCATCCACAACTATCTACACTTTAAGTCTTCCCACCCTAAACACCTTAAAGAGAAACTTCCCTATTCACAAGCACTTAGACTCAGAAGGATATGTTCCAACAATGAAGAACTAAATAAACACATTGAATATCTGGAGCATCAATTCACAACACGTGGCTATAAACAAAACCTAATCAGGGAACAAATAAATAAAGCAATTTCCACACCTAGAGAAGACACCGTAATGTACAAGATTAAAAATAAATCTAGCCGCATTCCTCTAGTAACCACTTTCAACCCCACTCTGCCTCCATTATCCCAAATAATCAAAAGTCGCTGGGAAATACTACATCTCAAACCAGACCTAAAAAAATTGTTTAAGGAACCCGGCCTTCTAGCATATCGTAGACCTAAGAACCTAAAAGAAATCATAGGTAGTAACCACATTTCAGGCGACAAGGTAATCCGTAATAAACCAACAAAAACAGTAGGATTTTTCCCAACCATGTAACAACAAAAGAAGTTTATGCTGCAACCATATTAAAAACACGAATTCATTCACTAGCTCAATCACTAAATCTACTTTCAAAATCTACCACGATTCTAACTGTAGAAGTCAAAACATAATTTACCTCCTAGAATGCACACTATGCTAGAAACAATATGTAGGAAAATCTGAATGGCCCTTTCACTACAGAATTAATAATTATCGCAATCGAATTAAGTCGACTCCCCATGAAAAATTATTACCTGTAGAACAACATTTCCGCCTGGAAAAACACAATTTCAAAACCCATGTCAAATTCACTATAATTGAGAGAATAAAAAAGTTCAGAGCAGATAACATTAGAAAGATTTTAGAGTCTCATGAAAATAAGTGGATACAACGTTTAAAAACACTATCCAGAGAGGCTTCACCACAAATTTAACAATATAGATAGTATTAATATATAACCCTACAAATCAAAACCTACCCACATTTCTCACCCACACAAGGCAGATATGCTTACGGAGGTGTTGAGGCCTTAAACTTATACACACACCCACAAGAATATACACACTTACGCACATCATACTCACTCACTCCCTAATGAGCCAAATGATAACACACCCCCACAGTAATATACACGCTTACACACATCATACTCACTCCCTAAGAACCAAATAACACGCACACAAACACTTAACAGAGACACATCCCCTCTCCAGGAACCAATAAAACTGTCAAACTGACCAGGGGAATTCAGAGAAGCATAGATCCATCCAGTTCTTATCTCAAATAACAACTTAAAAGAGACTGTTTGACCAACACAAGGATTGTTAAAAGATTCATGTTAAAAAGATAAGAAAAAACAAAAAAAACAAATGAAAACTACAGACAAAAGTTCATTTTCTCCATCAAGACATTCATTTCTGTAGTTCACTGCTACCAGCAAGCAGAAATATTTCTGTTCCTGATGATGGCCATGTTGGCCGAAACTAGTCGAGGAATCTAAATGAAATAATAATAATAAAAACGAAAGAATATTAATCTACAACTACAGCAGGAGATAACTGATAACTGACATCCATCAAACATGGCACTAGAAGAGTCTACCCCAGTGAGCGAAATAAAGGGTTCAGTTCGAAATTCCAAACACCTGAAGAAGGCCGGAGCGTACAACGGCCAAAACGTTGTGATAAATATGGCGACAAAGATGAGGACAATAGTCCGAATAATGTAAATAATGTACATAATACCTCATCTCAGAAATATAGACAGACTCTATTATATATATATATATATATATATATATATATATATATATATATATATATATATAAACACGTTATATTGAAATTTTCATTTTCCCTCTTCCTCTTTTAATATTAAAATCTTTTTCTTTTTTCCAGTCCCTTTTCCTTTCATCTGGATAAATTGACTCCATTCATTAAAAAAACCGTCGGCCTGAAGAGATGAATATATTTTTGTATATTCATGGAGTAAATTATAACCGAATAGATTTTTAAGGATCCTATATATATATATATATATATATATATGTGTGTGTGTGTGTGTGTGTGTGTGTGTGCGTGTGTGTGTGTGTGTGCGTGCGTGTGTGTGTGTGTTTTCAACCCTTGTGATTATCTGAGAAGCGCTGTAGGAGGTAAGTTGAAAAATATGTTTCTAAATTAAGTTGTCGACTTAATTGCTATAACTGCGTGTGCACAAGTTAATCTGACATACGGCCTCAATATTGGAATACTTTGAAGGTGAAGGTCACTACAAATGACCTCCATCATTCATTGGTCGGTACACAGGGAGGTGTGCAACCAATCGTAATAAGTTATCAATCAATCAGTCAAAGATCGAACCTTTGAGAAATAGAAACAAAGGTTATTAATGAGGCATTTAATTGATTTTGGAGATGAATTGCCTGGCACTGTAGGGTGATGGGGGCGTATTCTCTTTGTATAAGATTATTCAATCTGGTGCGGGTTACAAGAAATAGCCCTCCATCAATTGCAACACCAAGTATGATTTTATATTTGCAATTTAAACGACGAAAGAAACACAAGAGAAATAAATAAATCCCAAATGAAGATCAAAAAAGAGGCGATGACATAATAAAACTTTTTTTTTTTTTATTGGTTATTATTCTTTAATATCATTTCTTTTTATCTCCCTGTTCATACCTACTCAATTCTCCATTTTTAAAAACATTTCACCCTCAGTCAAGGCAATAAAACCACTAAGACACAAGGAATGTGAAATAGATTTTACTAATTGTTCGCACAATACAAGGTTCATGAACAACTCAATGTAATTGATGTTGTGCTTTAGAGAAAGAGGTAAGAAGTGCATTTTATGAGGACACAGATAACAGTTAACTCTTAATTTAAAGAGTTTGAGAATGTAGTGATTCAGGAAGAACCCTCTTTGTAGTTTGTTCCACGAAGCAGAAATTCTTGAAAAGAAGCTATTAAAATAGAATTTCCAACTTACTGACGTAATACGAAAAAAACATGCGATGGATTCGTTCCAAGGTACTTGGGATGTCAGGTGAATGTCAGGGCAAAGGAAAGTAGCTCATCTGAACATTTGCCATGGAAATAGCGATAGAGTAGAGAGAGACTTAGCTGGGAAGGACTAAACTGGTGGAACAAAGGAATGTAGCTGTATTAATATATATATATATATATATATATATATATATATATATCACAAATCTCAATAACTTGAATTTGTTTCAGCTGATGTACGATTTGGCTTTCTTCAGGATCTGTCTATATTTCTGAGATGTGGCGTTGCAATTATTTCTGAACAACATTTGCCATGGAAACAGCGATAGAGTAGAGAGAGAGACTTAGCTGTGAAGGTCTGAACTGGTGGAACAAAGGAATGTAGATAGTATTTATATATATATATATATATATATATATATATATATATATATATATATATCACAAATCACAATAACTTGAATTTGTTTTGAAAGATTTTTATCAAATGTTAGACGATTATCATAGTCCGGCGTTTCAGCCGATATACGCTTTGGCCTTCTTCAGGATCTGTCTATATTTCTGAGTTGAGGTGTTGTAATTATTTCTGAACATTTGCTATGGAAATAGCGGTAGAGTAGAGAGAGGCTTAGATGTGAAGGTCTGAACTTGTGGAACTAAGGAATGTGGTTCATTAGAACATTTGCCATAGAAATTCCGATAGAATATCGAGAATCTTGCAACGTTTCGCCCGTGGGATAGGGTTGGACTCGATGATTGGATAGCTTCCTCCCACATAAAGCAGCAGTACACCATTTTCGGTCTGATGTGGTTCTTGTAAAGACAGCAGGTGGTGTCAGGTACTTCCAAGAACGTTACAAGGAATCGATCATTTTTTCCAGCATCTTTATCAATGATCCGTACATATGAGTTACTCCAGAGGCCTGGGGGTGAACTTGAATTCCGACAGGCGTTCAATGCAAGGGGCCTCCTTCGGTGAACAACCCTCCATGATAAGTGAAAAGACACGCCCTGCCAATTTTCGCTAAATCGAACCACACTCCTTTCTTCTGTATTCCACATTTCCTCTCTGATAGCTTTTATTTCTTAAGAACTCCTACTGTGGAACAGGCTCTAATTTGAGTGGCTCTCAAGCCTTCTATTGAATGAACGTTAGTACATAAAAATGCCATGTATCGCGTATTGGTCGACTGCAGAGTTTCATTGTAATTAGCGACATCCCTCATGTATTGGTCGACTGCAATTTAATGATAATTAATAACACATCCCGTGTATTAGTCGACCGCAATTTTTCATGATAATTTATTACATACATCGTGTATTGGTCGACTGCGGGTTTTCATGATAATTCATGACATGCCTCGTGTATTAGTCGACTGCGGGTTTTCATGAGAATTCATGACATGCCTCGCGTATTAGTCGACTGCGGGTTTTCATGATAATTCATGACATGCTTCGCGTATTGGTCGACTGCGGGTTTTCATGATAATTCATGACATGCCTCGCGTATTGGACGACTGCGGGTTTTCATGATAATTCATGACATGCCTCGTGTATTGGTCGACTGCGGGTTTTCATAATTCATGACATGCCTCACGTATTGATCGACTGCGAGTTTTCATGATAATTCTTGACATGCCTCGCGTATTGGTCGACTGCGGGTTTTCATGATAATTCATGACACGCCTCATGTATTAGTCGATTGCGGTTTTTCATGGTACCTCCTAACATGCATAGTGCATAGACAGACGTTTGAAGTAAAGAGACTCATTGAGAGTATAACTGTACATCATGCTAGGCAAATTCGATGGCGGGGTTCTGCTTGGTAATGATGAAACGCTGCTAGCTTGGTTTACCTTCTCTTATATTCATATCACACATCCCAGTCATCATAACAATTTTAACAGTAACACTCTACCTTGAGTAGATCCCGAGCCTTTTAGCAATTAAACATATAAAATATTAAAAATCTCTCTCCCTCATGCTATCTTTCACCTTATTTGTCTTCTCTGTTTCTCATTTGCCTTCTCTGTCTCTTTCTCTCCTCTGCCCACCTTTTTCTCTCTCCGCACTCTCTCATTTGCTTTGTCCCGCTCTTTCCACACTCTTTCTCTCTCTTTCTCACCGCTACTTTCTCAATTACTCCCCTCTCTCTTTCCGCACTCTCTCATTTGCTTTGCCTCTCTCTCTCTCTGCACTCTCTCATTTGTCTTCTGACTCCCTTTCACTCCGCTGCTTGAGAACTTTCTCAATTACCCATCTCTCTCTTTCTGCATTCTCGTATTTGCTCTCTCTCTCTCTCTCTCTCTCTCTCTCTCTCCCTCTACACTCACTCATTTGCTTTGTCTCTCAGTCCATACTCTCTTATATGCCTTCTCTCTCTCTCTCTCTCTCTCGGGTGCTTGATTAAGTTCTCAATTATCCTCCCACTCTCTCACTCCACACTCTCTCATTTCCTTTCTCTCTCTCTCTCTCTCTCTCAGCAGTTCATTTACTTTGTCTCTCTCTCCGCACTCTCTCATTTCATTATTCTCTCTCTTTCTCTCTGCTGCTTGAGAACATTCTCAATTATCCTCCCTCCCTCCTCCCCTCACTCTCCCTCCCTCACTCTCCCGCCCTCACTCTCCCGCCCTCACTCTCTCCTCCTCACTCTCCCTCCCTCACTCCGTTTTCTGCGCACTCAGTCGTTTGCGTTGTCTCTCTTTCTCTCTGCACTCTCCCATTTGTTTTGTCTCTCTCTCTCTCCTCTATCTCTTATTTGAATTCTCTCTCTTTCTCCCCGCTGATTGATTCATTTCTCAATTATCCCACGTCTCTCTCTCTCTCTCTTATTTCCCTTTTCTCTCTTTCTCTTCGCTGATTGAGAAATTTCTCTATTATCCCCCCCTTCTCTTCCCCTCTCTCTCCGTTGTCTACGCACTCTCATTTGTTTTGTCTCTCTGTCTCCGCACTCTCTCATTTGCTTTGTCTCTCTCTCTTCACTCTCTCATTTGCTTTGTCTCTCTCTCTCTTCACTCTCTCATTTGCTTTGTCTCTCTCTCCCTCAGCACTCTCTCATTTTCTTTGTCTCTTTCTCTTTCCCACTCTCTGCTTTCTCTCTCTTTCTCTCACTCTCTCATTTGCTTTGTCTCACTCTCTTCACTCTCTCATTTGCTTTGTCTCTCTCTCTCTCTCACTCAGCACTCTTTCATTTTCTTTGTTTCTTTCTCTTTCTGCCCTCTCTTCTTTGATTTGTCTCTCTCTCTCACTCTCTGCACACACTCATTTGTCTTCTCACTCTCTTTCTCTCCGCTGCTTGAGAACTTTCTGAATCACCCTCCTCTCTCTACCTGCACTGTCTTATTTGCTCTCTCTCTCTATACTCGTTCATTTACTCTCTCTCTCTCTCTGCTTGATTACTTTCTGAATTAACCTTCCAGTCTCTCACTCCACACTCTCTCATTTCCTTTGTCTCTCTCTCTCTTCACACTATCTCATTTCCTTTTTCTCTCTTTCTCTCCGCTGCTTGAGAACTTTCTCAATTATCCTCCCCTTCTCCCCCCTCTCTCTCCGTTGTCTACGCACTCTCATTTGCATTGTCTCACTCTCTCTCTCTCCGCACTCTCTCATTTGCTTTGTCCCTCTCTCTTCACTCTCTCATTTGCTTTTCTCTCTCTCTCTCTCATTTCACTCTCTCATTTGCTTTGTCTCTCTCTCTTACTCTCTCATTTGCTTTGTCTCTCTCTCTCTTCACATTTGCTTTGTCTGTCTCTCTCATTTGCTTTGTCTCTCTCTCTTCACTCTCTCATTTGCTTTCTCTTCTCTCTCTCTCTTCTCTTCACTCTCTCATTTGCTTTGTCTCTCTCTCTTCACTCTCTCATTTGCTTTGTCTCTCTCTCTTTACTCTCTCATTTGCTTTGTCTCTCTCTCTCTCTTCACTCTCTCATTTGCTTTGTCACTCTCTCTTCACTCTCTCATTTGCTTTGTCTCTCTCTCTCTCTTCACTCTCTCATTTGCTTTGTCTCTCTCTCTTTACTCTCTCATTTGCTTTGTCTGTCTCTCTCTTCACTCTCTCATTTGCTTTGTCTCTCTCTCTCTCTTCACTCTCTCATTTGCTTTGTCTCTCTCTCTTCACTCTCTCATTTGCTTTGTCCCTCTCTCTTCACTCTCTCATTTGCTTTGTCTCTCTCTCTCTTTACTCTCTCATTTGCTTTGTCTCTCTCTCTCTCTTCTCTCATTTGCTTTGTTTGTCTCTCCTCTCTTCACTCTCTCATTTGCTTTGTCTCTCTCTCTTCTTCACTCTCTCATTTGCTTTGTCTGTCTCTCTCTTCACTCTCTCATTTGCTTTGTCTCTCTCTCTCTTCACTCTCTCATTTGCTTTGTCTCTCTCTCTCTTCACTCTCTCATTTGCTTTGTCTCTCTCTCTCTTCACTCTCTCATTTGCTTTGTCTCTCTCTCTTTACTCTCTCATTTGCTTTGTCTGTCTCTCTCTTCACTCTCTCATTTGCTTTGTCTCTCTCTCTCTGATTTCTCTTCTCTCTCTTTCTCTCTCATTTGCTTTGTCTCTCTCTCTCTTTACTCTCTCATTTGCTTTGTCTCTCTCTCTCTTCACTCTCTCATTTGCTTTGTCTCTCTCTCTCTACTCTTCACTTTGTCTGTCTCTCTTTCACTCTCTCATTTGCTTTGTCTCTCTCTCATTTCTTTGTCTCTCTCTTTACTCTCTCATTTGCTTTGTCTGTCTCTCTTCACTCTCTCATTTGCTTTGTCTCTCTCTCTCTTCACTCTCTCATTTGCTTTGTCTCTCTCTTCACTCTCTCATTTGCTTTGTCTCTCTCTCTTCACTCTCTCATTTGCTTTGTCTGTCTCTCTCTTCACTCTCTCATTTGCTGTCTCTTTCTCTTTCTGCACTCTCTTCTTTGCTTTGTCTCTCTCTCACTCTCTGCACACTCTCATTTGTCTTCCCACTCTCTTTCTCTCCGCTGCTTGAGAACTTTCTCAATTACCCTCCTCTCTCTACCTACACTGTCTTATTTGCTCTCTCTCTCTCTCTCTGCACTCTCTCATTTGCTTTGTCTCTCTCTCTTTATTCTCTTATTTGCCTTCTCTCTCTCTCTCTCCGCTGCTTGATTACTTTCTGAATTACTCTCTCACCCCACACTCTCTCATTTCCTTTGTCTCTCTCTCGCTCCGCACTCTCTTATTTGCATTCTCTCTCTCCGCTGCTTGATTAATTTCTCCATTATCCTCCCACTCTCTCATTTCCTTCTCTCTCTCTCTCTCTCTCTCTCAGCAGTCCGTCATTTACTGTGTCTCTCCCTCCACACTTTCTCATTTCCTTTTTCTCTCTTTCTCTCCGCTGCTTGAGAACTTTCTCAATTATCCTCCCCTACTCTCCTCCTCTCTTTGTCTCACTCTCTCTATCCTCACTCTCTCATTTGCTTTGTCTCTCTCTCTCTCTGCTCTCTCTCATTTGCTTTGCCACTCTCTATCATAAGTCTGTTTACTCTTTCCGACTCTTACTCGCGTTTCGTTTTTTATCATTCTCGCGTAAGCGCATACGAAAATATCTTTCGTGAAACCAGTTCTTCTTAAGAAGTTCGATGAAATGTCCTCACCGATTGCCACTATAAGCAAACAAACAGAAAGACATGAATTGTGTTAGAATGTCTGCATTAGACGCTCATATACAATCAGACAATCACACTCACAGAATTCCTTATGGGGAATTCGCCGACGCGCTGACAAAGAGTGCGAATCAATATTATTCACGGAGACTTGCTTTCGAAATGATCGTCCCCAATATTAAGCAGAAAGTGCGAACGCATAATATTAGGCTTAGCAAATGAGTGGATCAGTCACGAAGATTTTAAGGCACACTGACTCTGATTGTTGATAAGTTCATAGGCACGAACCTTGTGGAGCTGAGGTACCAGTGAAACGTTGATTCTTTCGTTAAGATCCCTCGTTTCGGCTAGGGTGGTAACTCAATGAAGTCATCCGAGTTGAATATATATATATATATATATATATATATATATATATATATATAGAGAGAGAGAGAGAGAGAGAGAGAGAGAGAGAGAGAGAGAGAGAGAGCGGATAAAGAAAATCAAGAGGAATGAATGAACAAAAAATATATAAAATAAATTCAGTGAACCCTTTCGGAATTAGGAGCAATGTCTTCTTTCCTTGTCAATTCTTTATCGCTTCTTTCTTTGAGAAAATACAGCAATGATAAAAAAAGAAAAAGAAAGAAAAATATTCAATACTGTATTTTCGATAACATATTCTGAATATTTCTTTTTGTTTTTTGAACGAAACTTGTTCTTTCTCGCATTAAACTCTCCGCTTACAATTTTTCTCAGCAACCTCGAGCCCGGTCAGTATCTAGATGGGTAACCGTTTGGGAATACCATGTGCTGTAAGCTTGGATGTACCCGTGATGTAATGGATAATGACACGGAATTAATAATAGGATTTGGGTTCGTTATATTCACTTACGCGCAGGTACCCTGGGGAAAAGTACGAACCCAGCTCTTTACCTAATTAGTAAGACTAATATCACTAAATCATTAGTATCTCAAAAAACAAAATTCTTAAAATATTTTCTGACTTTAAATAACCTACAAAGGGTTGATAAACCGTAAAAAACGAGACAATGAAATATTGATTAACTACACAGGCATTTCTCTTGAATATAAATGTATAGAAACTACCGTGGCCACAAGGTGAGGGATCTGTTTATTTATTGATTATAATATAGAATTGATCCCCCATTTTATATCCATATTATAATTTCTTGCAGGCATGTCTTTTAGATTTATTTACATTCTTTGGAACATAAATGTATAGAAACGCAAAGTGAGTGATCAGTTTATATAATGATTGTAATACAGAATTGAACCCTCACTTTATATCCGCATTATAATTTCTTGGCCTGTCTTTCAGATTTATTTACATTCTCAGGAATATAAATGTACACAAATTACCATGGCTAGAAAGTGAGGGATTAGTTTATATATTGATTTCAATATAGAATCGATCCCTCAATTTATATCCATATTATAATTTCTTGTTTGTTTATCAACTTCTGATTAGATATGACGTCACCTCTTCTCCCCCAGCTATGGGTTAATTAGTAAGACTTGTATCACTAAATCATTATTTCTCCCCATCACAAAAAAATGAAAGTTCTTACAATTTAAAAATATTTTCTGGCTTTAAATAACCTGAAAAGGGTTGATAAACCGTAGAACACGAATCAATCATGTTTTCTCCGTGTCTTCTTTCTTTTGGTCTGATTTATCATTTTAACCACAAGATTCTACCTTCTGTCACCGACAATTCCCTACAGAGACCTGTTCTTCTCATTTAAAAAGAAAACCGCAAACTTTATATCTGTTAAAATATCAGAATTTTTTGACCCACCATTCGCTGCCATTAGTCGCAGAGCATTAATAAAAAATACGGAACAAGTGTCTGATCTTTTAGTCGGAATCGAACCCGATACTTGTTCTGTATTTTCTAAAATTATTTTTATCCCAGTACATGACCAACTACACGGGTTATTATATTGGATTAAATTTTAGATGAAGCTTTTTCAATTATTAACTGACTTTTCAAGTACTGATAAAGTTTCATAATAAATATTATAAAGTAAATAATAAAGTTATATATATATATATATATATATATATATATATATATATATATATATATATATATATATATATATATATATATATATATATATATATCAAATATGTGGTGCCGTTCAATTTATATTACAATTCATTCATACAAAAAGTAGATTAGTAAAGTTAATATGTTAACGGATATAAACTTTTGGAGAATGCATTCGCAACGCTAAGGTTGTTTTTTTGTGTGTGTCTGTTAACAATAACACATTTCAAAGAAAGCATATTTCGATTGGCATTTACTTTTTTCATCTCGGATGCTACCTGAATTAAAAAAAAAAAACATGCCTGAAGATGACTGAACGTACAGTTGAAAGTACTTGCATATTAAAGAAAGACCTTATACAGCTTATAATTTTTAAAAACAAGGTTCATAACATTCATCGAGTGATTTGTAAGTCAATGCACCTTTAAAATTTTGTTTGCGAAGGGATTTCGCCATTTTATATCATTGACTTTACTAATCTACTTTTTGTATGAATGAGTCATTTATATATATATATATATATATATATATATATATATATATATATATATATATTATAATTATTTTAAAAAAATGATCCTTTCGCTATATAAGAGTTCTCATGTTTCAAAAACGAGACCCGAAACCCTCAGTATAATTCTTAATTAAATTGAATTAAGGTATCAAGCCCTGTTTCATCGAAAATTTAGGAATAACTAATCTTGAAATTTACGCATCTTTATAAGCATGTTCGGTCGCAAAATTTATTACTATGGAAACGGCTGGGGCGACCATTTTGATAAGGGGTCTAATAGTTAATTTTTATTCACATATCAGTCACCTTCGGAAAGAGGTCAAGTCGAGCTAGGGTGGGGTATCCATTTCAAAGAGGATGATGGCATTCATGTACGCACATCGTCTGGTCAGTTTATATATATATATATATATATATATATATATATATATATATTATAAAAAGAAGAGAGAAATCGCAAAAAGACAGTATGTGTATGTAAAGAGGAAGTGCGCGTATACATACGCATGCTGATATATATATACGCATATTGGCAAAAGACAATACTGCTCACGGACACACATGCGAACACTACACAACATAGAAAGGGTATGTGTGTGTGTGTATATATACAAATGTGTTTACTAATTCCTCGTAATAAGATAATGTGTATGTTTGGAGAGGGAATATACGTATACATACGCATGTTCACAAAACACAAAAAATGGAAATAAGGTTTAAGAACACACAGGGGCCATTAAAAGATAAGAATGCTGATAACTCCTTCACTATTTCTCGGACCAATCTTAAATGTTTTATAGCCCTTCACGCAGAAGTTTTTCACTGCAATTCAGAAAGACATTTTGGTCACTAACACACAAAAAAGTGAATGTCTCATATCGAGAATATTTAACATCAAAAAACATAAGAAAAAATTAATTATTTTTTATAATATGTGGAAATCTCCACGCTTTGCCTGATGAAGGTCACGAGACCGGAAACGTGTGTAGCAAAATTATGGAAAATAAAGCATAATATATATATTTTTTTAAATCCACAGTACGACTAAAAAAACGTTTCTTTTTTTTTTAATATACACACATTTCTCTCCTTGGAACTACTATAACATCTTCCCTTTTATATATATATATATATATATATATATATATATATATATATAAATAATGTAATTTATATATAATAAGTCAGTAATAAAGTTATAATACTCAGTTTAATACTATTATTGTAAGCAAAAATTAACTATGGTGACGATCAGAAAAAAAATAACGAATGAAAGTTTTATGGTTAAATTTGAGGTTTTGTAACCAGTGGTTTTCCTAGATTAATCGGTAAAGTAGATGTCGTGATATGAGAACATATTGCCCGGAGAAAACTAACAAATGAAAGTTTTATGGTTAAAATTGAGCTTCTGCAATCGGTGACTTCCGTTCGTTAATAGTTAAAGCAACTATCCTGCGAAGACAGGTTTGCCGAAGAAAAATAACGAATGAAAAAAATTATGATCCAAATTGAATATGTACCGGTCGCTTTTGTAGCTTAATCGGCGAATCAGCTGTTGCTTCTCGAGGGTTAAAAAAAAGATGCTGGTTCATGTCTCCCGTAGTTTCAGATCCTTAGAATTAAGGTAAGAGAGGTTGCAATAAAAGTAACTGAAATAAAGCTAAAAGAAACACTAGTTAAAAATTGTTAAAACCTAATGATTTAAAAAAAAATCTTTAAATGACTAATCAATGATGTGTCTGTGTGTGTAATGGTTATTGAAAAAAGAATCGGATGATCGATTTTAAATCCCAGCTGATGTAGTATGTATTTATTTCGCATTAATACCTTTAAAAAAAGGCATGGAAAAACCCCCTCCCCGTCAAAAACTTTGGGTTAAACGGCCAGGTAGAATGGGCTCTGTAACCTTGGCTGACAACATATCTGGGAGAAGGAAATATCTGACTATTTGAATAAGGTAAAAGAAACTACAACACACTCTTTTTCGGGATCAAACCTGACATGACGCAATTTACAGTTATACAATAAAAAGAAGTTGTGGGGAGCCATTATCATCTACATTCTTATGGGTCATATTTAAAACAAACGATCAATCACGACAGTGCCCGGCCTACAGTGTAGGTGTGAGAGACCGTAAGATCATATGCAAATTAAATCATTGTAAATCAGTTTGTCACCTGTAGCGTTGACTTTGTTTCCCGTATAAAATATAGCTTTCAAAATTGACAAGGAAAATATTTCTTGGAGCACAGTAATTTATCGTTACGAATATGAGAAAACCGCATTTGGAGGCTCGTATTTTTTGGGTTACCCTTTGTGTGTGATTTGCCAGGACTAGAATTGTTTTTGCAACACGTTGATGCGTGTTGGGATCTTTAATGTGTTTAATATAATTGAAGTTATCGCTAACATTTGTGTCGAAATTTATAAACTCAAAGTTTTTTTCAATTTTGCAAACCCACCGATGAAATTTAAATTAGCTGATTTGATTGGAAAAATGTTTTGACAAAAACCCCACTTCGCGGTTTAATAATTTCTTTAATTTTATAGGACTTCATGGTAAATAAAAATTTCTTTTTTTCCTTTTTAACAACAAAGAATAAATTCTTAGGATTTTTTACTCTTGAGCATTCAACATACAACTGGCCGTGCGTAAATTTCTTTCTGGAGCCCAAATCGAACTTTTTAAATGGTTGGCCTTGTGATTTGTTAATAGTTCTAGGAAAATTCAAAGCGAACTGGAAACTGGATTTTGTAAATATAAAAACTTAAAGAAAATATATGCAGAAAACAATATTGCATTTTTATTAAATAAGTATTTATTATTTTAATAATTTAATTCTTTTTTAAAAAGTGGTAGTCGGTGGAGTAATGGATAGGGGCTTGGATTGAGAAGTCGGAGAGACGAGTTCGAATTCCAGTCGAATCCATTATATTCACTTACGTGCTAATACCCTTGGGAAAGGTATGGATCCTCGTTTTCTTCCTCCAGCTATGGGTAAATATATAATGGATGGATGGCAACTAGACTACCGCAGAAAGAAATGGCAACCTCCTGCGGGAAAAAACATCTGATATAATGAAATTTGAAACTTAAAATATTTACTATGTTTTAATGGCTTATAAAGAAAATATCAAATCATTCCAATCAAGGTGACAATCTATTTGAAATGATTTTCTTGCCTTCAATAGAATATTAACTAATTAAAGCAGCTGTCATAAGAGCAAAGGTCTCCCCGGTGAGATAATTGAATCTTCTTTAATCTATGTCTTTCAAAGGTGAATCGGTAAAGCAGTTATTGTGCGAAGAGAGGTTCCCCGGGAAAAAAAACAAAACAATGAATTACATTTTTATGTTTAGATTTGAGCTTCTGCAACCAGCAGTTGTCGTAGCTTAATCGATAAAGCAGCTGTCGTTCGAAGAAAGTTTTGTCTAGGAAAAATAACGAATGAAAGTTTTATGGTCTGATTTGAGCTTCTACAACCTGGTAGTTGTCGTAGCTTAATCGGTAAAGCAGCTGTCGTTCGAAGAAAGTTTTGTCGAGGAAAAATAATGAATGAAAATTTTATGGTCTGATTTGTTCTTCTGCAACCCGGTAGTTGTAGCTAAATCGATAAAGCACCTATCATGTAAGGATAACTTTCCCGAAAAAAAAAAAAAGATGTGAGATTGTGTCTCACTGAATGCTTATTATTGGTTTCCGGTTCATAGATGGTCGGTCTGAGAATTTGCGATAAAAGGTAACTGAAATTAAGATAAAATAAATACTTGTTAAAATTTGTTAACTGAATGATTTAAACTAACCTTTATTACAGTGTTATTAGCGGTTCTTTTATTTTATTTTTTTTTTTACGATGACGTTTATCTTGTACAAGACCTGAAAGCCACTTTAGAAGTGTACATAGTAAGAGGCACAATGATCGAGGAAGCATTCTCTTGGGAATAGGCTCCACAAAGCGGAGGCTACTGAGAAGCTGCTGCTCGAGTGGAACTTACATCCCACCAATGGAATATGAAGGTGGTTCGCCACAATGTGCACGGCATGGTGTAGCACCATATACTTATGAGATGTCATCACCGATAGATTTCCTTTTTACTATGATGTTTACCCTGTACACGGTCCAAGTGACACTCGAGGCAGAGGGTTATAGGTTAAGAGTTACAGTTTACGTGAATATGAGAGGAAGATAACAGTTGTTCCTAGACTTGAAAAAGTTAAGATTTCCTCAAAGAAAACGTTCGTGAGAAGCTGCTCGAATGGGAAATACATCTCACTAATGAGGGAATGACGGTGGTTCACTAAAATGTGGTTGGTGTGGAGAGTCTTAGACGTTAAGGTTAGAAATGGTAGAACTAAGGAATGTAGTTTGAACACTTTTCAAGGGAATAGCGATACAGCAATTAAATTAAATCGAGGATTTGGGAAATTATCACAGTTACCAAAATGATTTTAAAATGAAACTGTAAATCAGTTTGTTGTGGAAAGATCTTTTCAGAAGGAGTTTCAAAATTAACCAGATTGCTTAGAGGGAAGGTGAAATAACACATATCATGTATATGTGTTGGATTTGACAATACAACCAAACGCCATTAACATAGAACAGAATTAGATCCACATAATAAAAAGTAAAGCTATTTGGGACTTAGAGATTCAAATAGCTTAAGATATCAAAACCGGGAAACCAAACCGTCAACAAAGAAAGATCAGATGATAAATTTAACAATTCCAGTAGACCACAGAATGAATTTTGAAAAGAGAGTTTGAAATAATACCAGGTCCTTTTAATATATATATATATATATATATATATATATATGCTACAAAAAATATTCTCAAATTGCCATTATAGTAAAAAAAACGCACTCTCTTAAATTTTCAAAAAGATTCAACCTTAGCGTTGCGACTGCACATTCCAAAGCTTTGTGTCCGTTATCAATAACACATTTAAAGAAAAATATTATATTTTTTCGTCTCGGATGCTACTTGAATTTTACCAAAAGCAAAATAATTTCCACGCCCGAAGATGACTGAATGTACAGTTGAAAGTACTTGAGTATTAAAGAAAGACCTTATACAGCTTATAATTTAAAAAAACAAAAAACAAAAAAAACAAAGATATAACATTCATCGAGGGATTGGTAGGTTAATGCACCTTTAAAATTTAGTTAGCGAAGGGATTTCGCCATTTTATATCATTAACTTTACTAATTTACTTTTTGTATGAATGATTCATATATATATATATATATATATGTATATATATATATATATATATATAATATGATAAAATATAGTTTTAAGGAATGATATATTTGCGGTTTAAAGTGTTCACTATCTGGGATATAGCATATGCAAATATAAAAGTGGATATTGAAGTCAACACACAGAGGCGACAGGTCTGTTTCATGGTCTGATGGTTGCGTTCAAGAATGAAATAGAGTGATGCCTCTGGGTGTTGGCTTCAATGTCCAAATACATACATACATACATATACATACATATATATATAAATAACAACGTTAAACATAAAAAAATGTCTTTAATAAATAAATTGTCGGACCTTGTCCATTTCTTAATATATATATATATATATATAAAAACAAAGAACAGTAAGATATATAATCCGGTGTTCTTATAGATATTTTTATTTTTACAAAATAGTGCACAATGTAAATTTACAGAGCATTAATATTATAAATTAATTGATTTAAAATATGTTTTTTCCGCTACACAGTTCTAACCATGTTTCAAAAATAGAAGCCCCGAATTAAATATTGCAATTAAATTAAAAGCATTAGTTCCATTTCATCCTCAAGCGGAAATGGAACTAATGCTTTTAATTTAATTGCAAAAATAAATCAGGGCTTTTCTATTTTTGAAACATGGTTGGAAAAACATATTATAAATCAATTATATATATATATATATATATATATATATATATATATAATAACAGATCCGTAAGTGGAAAGGATAATTTAAGTGGTTCTCTTTAATAGAAAATAATGAAAAGCTAGATCCGTAGAGAGCTTAATGTATAGAATACAGAGCAATATCTTATACATCAAGGAAAAGCTTAACACATCACGAAAATACAGTAATAATCCGTGATTTATTTCAACCAGTAAGTCTCACCAAACCGAAGATATAGATGGTATAAATGTACACGGATATACATACACACATGTATATATACACATATACACATACATATATATAACCACAAGTATGCATATATATACACACATACACATACATATATAAACATATATACGTATAGAAAAAGAAAGAGAATATCATTGACAATTGACTGAAAATATAAGAAATAAAACGATTCAATATATGATATAAAATAAAATATCAAAATATATATATACATAAATAAATATGCATATATATATATATATATATATATACATATATGCACACATGTACATATACATACATATACGTATGTAACTATACAAATATAAAAGGAGGAACTGAAAATAATACAAAAATTTTCAAGAAAAAGCATCTTAAATTCAGTATCTGATTTATCTTCAGATTTGTAAAAATCAAATATACACATACACAGAAACACATACACCAATATATATATATATATATATATATATATATATATATATATATATATATATATCAGAAAAATTTATTATGCAAAAGAATTAATTAGCAATGTTAATGTGATCAATGCGGAATCACTTCGCTAACAAGACAATGAGACATTAACTTACTATCAATTCCTTGAATAACACGATCATTGTAATATAATTTTTTTAGCATGGACGAATGGTAGACCTATAGATATTCAAAATAGATTCTGCAGAGAAAAAAATGTCCCGCACAATGCAGTGAACCAACTTTAGGAGCTGACCTAACAAATATCTATCTATCTATCTATCTATCTATCTATCTATCTATCTATATATGAAGAAAAATATGGAAAAACAAAAATCCGAATATGCAAGTATGCTGTTTTAATGTTGTTTCAATGTCGACGTCAGACGTTTCGGTCTAGTAGACCTTCTTCAGGACATAGTTATTAAAACATAATTAAAATTAGACGATATTCAAGTCAACATGAATAGACGATAGACATAAGACTAATCAAAACAGAATAACTGATTTTTAAGATAAGCGTTCCGTTTCGCAATACGATCACGTCGGCGTCACGTCGGCGTCACGTCGGCGTCACGTCGGCGATGTTGTGAAAACGTTTTCCTAAAATAGAGTATATTTTAAATGAAAAAGAATTTTATTTTAATCTAAAATTTATAATTACGTTTGTCCAGCATTAATCTTGCTAGAAAAGGGGAAATATTAAAGAAGCCGGGTCTAGTAATCACCGTGCGTGAGATAGATATTATGCCAGCCTCATAAATCCGTCTAAGATTTTTATTATGAATATATTTTAAAATCTTCACAGAATCAAAATCGAAATTATGGTCAGATTTAGTTATGTGTACAAATAAAGCATTGTTTAAATTACCGAGGCGAATATCTATACATATATATATTTAATTGATATCAACAGATGCAAGGCAATAAAGCCACTAAGATACAAGAGGTTAGAGGATGTGGAAGAATTAGGAACAGAAAGATTAATAATGAGCGAGAGGAGAAAAATAATCAGGAGGACAGTGGATAGTATCTGCGTTTTGTGTAACTGATATCATTCTAGAAAGTGAAACCGGCGATCAGAGTTCAAATCCATGGCTATCCTGTTGCGTTCACTGTTGCACAAATGCTCTTTGAAAAGGCATGATTCAATTTTTTTTTCTAGCAAGTAAGGATTTAGCAGAATCGACTGAGCAAGAAAAACTTTGAATTGCAACGCGTAGATATGATAAAAGGAAACCATTCTTCTATATTTACAAAAATGCTTGTTAATTCACAGATAATAAAAAAGTGGAAGACGTGGAGAGCCATACTCCGGTACATTCTGAAGGGACATGACATTATAGAAAAAAATGAAATAACGCTACAGGATTTATGCGCGAAGAAATATCTCATGAAGTTTAGTTTTTTACGACTGCATATTTCAAATCCGTTAACAGAGGCGCTATAGTTTAAAGACTTTCCTTGAAAGAAGAAAGCAAGCTAGTGGTGATTGATTGTTGCTATTGACTCCAATTGGTCTGGTTCTCTTTTAGAAGAAAAGAATTTTTGATTTATTGGATGGAAATGCCGCAAAGAACAACGGCAAATGCATCGGACCAAGCAAGAAGAAAGTGGCAAAATTCTTGTACCTTCTTGCGCGACACAAATAAAAGTAGACAAGTTAAGGAGCGTCTTATAACTGCCTCGTTAGTGATTTATGGCTAACGATAATAGTAATTAAAACCATGGAACTCACCTCCATTATTGTGGAATATCAATTAGTTGCGGCCACGGCATTGTGAGATTTAATCCCATATTTATTTCGATAATGACTGAGGTCATAATTTTGGTTACTGCAACCTTTGCACCTGTTCGCGTAATTTCGACAGGGCCACTGTTTATGGCGCTGGGAAGCACTTTTTAAGGTTCTTCATGCAATGCAGCGGTCTAATGAAGAATTGTTCATAACATCGCTTCAAAAGTAACATTTTATGATCAAATGTTATTCAACTTTTAATTGGTCGTCAATGAATGAAAAGTTGAAAAATCTAAAGGAAAAGCCGAAGCAAAATTAATATTAATAATTAGGGGCAAGTTAGAGCAATTCGACATCAAGCAAGAAACTTTTAAAAAGGATCTCGAGTTAATAACAACAACAATAATAATAATCATACATCAAATATTTGTCCGTTTGGCCAGTAAATCTTTGATGTACAGAGTTATTTCCCTTGCAAAGACGTATTGTTGATATATTCGAAAACTCACATACAAAGACCTTTTCATTATAGTTACGACTTGACAAAATATGACCTTTTTTCTGACATGGCTAAAAACCCAATTAACATAAGATTATACTGAGCATAAAGTTGTGCTCAGGTTTTAGCGTATTTAGTAAGCCACTGATCCTAACCCAGAATAACTACAAATGAATATATATATATATATATATATATATATATATATATATATATATATATATATATATATATATATATATATATATTATTTTAATACCTATACTCAGGCGGTGTGAAAAAAAAATCCGGATAATACAATTCACAAATAAAAATATATTTGAAAAACTGATATCAGGGAAAAAGAAATTCTATATAAAAGAAAATACTAAAAACATCCGTGTTGGTCGAAATAATCGATCAGCAATCTCCTGTTAAAAGAAAAAAAAAAGAACTATTTTTTTCTTACCCTGAAGATCCGTTAGGTGAAACCTTGGTGCTGGCTCACTAGGTTTATATATATATATATATATATATATATATATATATATATATATATATATATATGCACAGTTGTTAATATCAAGTTATTTGATTTACCTACCTCTATACCCATATCTATATATCTAAATATAGATATGAATATAATAATTGGAAAATGTATTTAAAGACTAGCTGTTGAAAACCTAAATAATTTGTGTTTATCGCAACGTTTTACAGAGCTTTCTTTTTTCTACTGCACACTCTTTCTTTCTTTCTTTCTTTCTTTCTTTCTTTCTTTCTTTCTTTCTTTCTTCCTTTCTTTCTTTCTTTCTTTCTTTCTTTTTCTTTCTTTCTTTCTTAATATTTCCGACCCTTTCTTTCTTTTTTCCTCTCTTTCTTTCCACTCTTTTTCTTTCTTTCTTTCTTTCTTTCTTTCTTTCTTTCTTTTTCTTTTTTCTTTCTTTTCTTTCTTTTTTCTTTCTTTCTTTCTTTCTTTTTCTTTCTTTTCTTTCTTTCTTTTTTCTTTCTTTCTTTCTTTTTCTTTTTCTTTCTTTTTTCTTTTTTTCTTTCTTTCTTTCTTTCTTTCTTTCTTTCTTTCTTTCTTTCTTTCTTTCTTTCTTTCTTTTTTCTTTCTTTCTTTCTTTTTTTCTTTCTTTCTTTCTTTCTTTCCACTCTTTCTTTCTTTCTTTCCTTTCTTTCTTTCTTTCTTTCTTTCTTTCTTTTCTTTCTTTCTTTTTCTTTTTCTTTCTTTTCTTTTTTTCTTTCTTTCTTTCTTTCCTCTCTTTTCTTTCTTTTTTTTCTTTCTTTCTTTCTTTCTTTCTTTCTTTCTTTCTTTCTTTCTTTGCACTCTTTCTTTCTTTCTTTCTTTTTTTCTTTCTTTCTTTCTTTTTTTCTTTCTTTCCACTCTTTCTTTCTTTCTTTCTTTCTTTTTTTTTCTTTCTTTTTCTTTCTTTTCTTTTCTTTCTTTTTTTTTTTTCTTTCTTTTCTTTCTTTCTTTTCTTTTCTTTTTTCGTTTCCTATCGGTTATTAAATTTAAAAAGCACATTTATATTTTATATGCAATTAAATTGTTGAAATATATTTGTTGAAATTTATTCAGGTTAAGCTAATTTGAAAAATCACCTTACGTCCTTTAAATTTTAGTTTATTTTAATAAAACTAATGAACAGACAAAACGTTCGGACATTCTTCCAAACTCCTCAACTTGCTGCCAGGACTTGAATTCTTGTTTCTTTTTTTCAACAGAAGTGAATAAAGTCCGTCGTGAAGGATTTGTGTCCAGTAATGAATAATAATGATAAAAAAAAATGTCTTTACGGCGGCAAAAGGAACTTGGATCGAAAAGTCACGTAAAGAAAGAAAATCATTTTTGCTAGATTCGCGAAAGAAGGGAAAGAAATAGAGGAGGAAAAAGAGAAAAAAAGATCCAAGCCACCCCATCATGCCGTTACCCAGTTCCGGCTTCCTGGAAGATATGCAAGCATCGCACCGGAAAGTAAGACTGATTGCGTTATCTGAGAAAGACGCACACTTTGAAAATGTAAACTACAAGTCTCGCGAGAATTCTTATCTCTTTGCGTGAATAGATTGCCTTACAACCGTTTGCCTCACGATGTCTGTCCACCATGATTGTTTTTTTATTTCCACATATGCACACACACATATATATATATATATATATATATATATATATATATATATATATATATATGTGTGTGTGTGTGTGTGTGTATGTGTAGCCTGACAGAATATACATTACATGACCTCTTTTATGAAGTTAGTATCTTGCGCTTCGTAGAGAGAGACAGCGTAAAGGAAGCTCGGACATTATCAAGAAAAGAAAAGAGAGAGAGAGAGAGGGGGGAAGGGAGAGAGGGAGAGAGAGAGAGGGAGAGTGAGAGAGAGAATTTAAAATCTATATATAAAAAGATATCATGAACATTTTTCAATATATTAGATTGCTATTCTCAAAAAAATTCTGTCTGCAAAGCTTGAAATTTCTGTTACATAGAAAGAAGAAATCGCTGCCTGTCTAGGTTTTCTGTAAAATTACGAAAGTGCCAGACATTAATATAAACACATGGCTTAACAGAGTCTGGCACAGAGTCAAAACACGTGAGCCCCTAGTGAATTTAAAATTCACTATAAAAAGAGTAGTTTGCAAATGTAAATTTTTTCCGCCACTCTACGTCACGTATTTTGTATCAGTATTTGGTAATTGGCCAAGCTTGGTGACGATGTCTACATACGTGAAGATGTGGTCAATCAAGGAGGGTTTTGATTCCTCCAATAGGAGGTAGTAAATTCTGGATTTGGATTAGGATTTATTGCGTTTTACGGCATAGTCAGTTTTTGGAGATTAATTAAAGCCTATCTTATATACTTATCTATGCTTCAAAAAATACTGCCACGTCAGGTTGAATATTTCTGTATATTTAGAGATTCTTGTTAAAATCCAAACAAAGAATCAGCAATATTATTGGTCCTGACCTGGCGTCTCGGCTTCAGTCACTTTCCCACTGTCGTAAAGTATCTTCCCTGGGCTTTTTTACAAATACTTTCATGTTCGGATGAAGTTTCCACTATGATATGAATGTGAGCGCAGTACTAGATG